CAGTGAGAGGTATCTCAGTAGGCTCTGGATCTGGAGCCGCAGAAGGAACTGGAGCTGGCCGGGACTGCCGAAGACTAGGATCAACCTGCCTGCATTGCCTGTGATAGACTCTCAACTCCGGCTCCCTTTGACCACCCTCACCACTACAGCCTTCATTATCCAGTGGAATAGGTAAAGGAACAGCCCCACTTCTACCAGCCCCAGTTCCATTCTCACTGCTCTCCCCCTGAGGAAAGAAACTCAAAACAGCCCCACTCTCACTGCTCTTCCCCTGAGGAGAAACCCTAGGATAATAGGGTGTCTCCTCAAAGAAGGTGACATCCATGGAGACAAACCGTTTCCCTGAAACCGGATCATAGCAGCAATAACCCTTTTGAGTTTGTGCATAACCAAGGAAAATGCATTTGGAGGCCTTAGGTTCAAACTTGGAATGATGAGGCCCGAGAAGCTGAACGAAACAGGTACAACCAAAGGTTTTAAGGGGAACAATGAACAACTCCTCGTCTGGGTATAGAAGGGAAAAGGGGGTATAAGGGCAAGTGCTCTGGTGAGATAAACTACCGTGAGGATAGCATCACCCCAGAAGCGAATAGGTACATTGGAGGTAAACATAATGCTTCTAGCCACCTCCAAGATATGCCTATTCTTCCTTTCGGCAACGCCGTTCTACTGTGGTGTATAAGGGCAAGTGCTCTGGTGAATAACTCCATGGCTAAGAAGGTAGGAGGTCAATGGTTGAGCAAAGTATTATCAGATCTAAGGACTTTGATTTTGGTCCCAAACTGAGTGAGAACCATCTGATGGAAGTTTTGGGTCAGAGCAGGAACCTCATCCCGAGAACGCATAAGATAGACCCAAGAAAAATGGGTATGGTCATTAACAAACAGTAGAAAATATCTGTACCCACCCATAGAAGAGATATGATATGGCCCCCAAACATCAGTATGCACAATATCAAAAGAGGAATTACTCCTTTTATTACTTAAAAAATAAGAGGTTCTACAATGTTTGGCAAATTCACAACTCTCACACCTCAACTTTGATAACAGACTCAAATAAAGCAGGAAACAGACTCTTCAAAGACTTAAAAGACAAAAGACAGGTAGATAGATCCCGTTCGTCTCACAGACTGGGAAACAAAAGACTTCTTATCCACTAACTCCTCCCGACGAGAACTCTCTCCAAGCAGATAGATCCCGTTCGTCTCACGGTCAGTCCCAATCACCTTCCTCATCTCCAAATCCTGAAAAACACATCGGTCAGGGAAAATGGTTACTGAACAGTTCATGTGTTTGGTAATACTACTAACTGAAAGCAGGTTAGTATCA